TTTTTTTCTCGAATTCGAAGCTGGATATGAAGAAAATACAGGAGACCAAAAACTTGTATCTTGAGTGGCTTAATCTAAAAAAAAAATAAAAATTCACTAAAAACAGTCAGTGGCGTACTTCTTTTACAATATTTTAGGCTGTGATGCCCACTGAGTAGGGGTGGGAAAAATTATCGATATATCGATAATTATCGATAATTATCGATAATAATTTGGGGAAAAATTATCGATTTATCGATATTATCAATATTATCGATATTATATCGATATTATCGATATTATCGATATTATCGATATTATCGATATTATCGATATTATCGAAATTATCAATACTATCAATGATATCTAAATTATCGAAATTATCGATATAACCGATAATATCAAAATCATCAAAATGAATGAGCATCAGAAAAATAGGTATTTTTGTTTTTCATATGGAACACCCTGTATAAAACAGATACCTGTTGGTAAGAATTGAGGTGAGAATGAAAATATAATAAGACACGCCACCCTGTACATTAGCCTTTTTCAAACAACATACGACTCCAGCACAGCAACTTGCCTGAGGCTATTTGACATCTGGCAACGTGGCAACCCTGCTTATTAGTTGTGGTGGCCAACTTTTTGGATAGTCATGTGTTGAACGAGTAACAAGTATCAAGTAAGGTGCGTTATCTGATTATATGGAATATTTTTATTATATCATTTGATCGATCATTTCTTGAAAAATAACATAATGACAAAATAGCTTTGTTTATTATACCTACTTAGAAAACAGAAAGTGAATATAAAAAATAAGTATTATAAAAATACCCTGGTCACGACTAGGGGGTGGGAAAAATTATCGATATATCGATAATTATCGATAATAATAAGGAGAAAAATTATCGATTTATCGATATAATCGATAATATCGATAATATCGATAATATCGATGATATCGATGATATCGATGATATCGATAATATCGATAAATCGATAATATCGATACATTATGAATATCGATAATCGATATTTCAAAATCATTATCGCCCACCCCTACCACTGAGACGGCACTGGCCCCAATAATTTCAATCTAAAAAGGGCTAAATAAGCGCCTTACTAGTTCAAATAAAAGTACAAAATTTCAACTGAATCGGTTCCAGGATATTCTTGATATTTTGTAATTACCGTTTTTTTTCTTCAATTTCATCGCCCTGTATCTCAGAAACGAAGCACCTAGGAAACACCCTGTATACAGGGTCCTGCATCTCACCTCCCGTCTTCAATAGCTCAGTTATCAGGTGAGTCAGGATTTTGATAGTTTGGAGAATTCGCCATACCAGGAGAATCATTCCGATTATACAGGGTGTCCCAAAAAAGTATGTTGTCATAACGATATATTTTTTTTATGCGCGAGAATTCACAGAGCCTCCGATGGAAATTGTGTAGCTAGACTCTTGTTGTTCCGATGTTTTTTCGTGTTAGAGGTGACGTATGGGGTTTAAGGCGAACTTTCGTGATATGTAGGTATCACTTGAGCGGTTCAATTGGACTCGAAAGTGAGAGGTTGTTACAAATTGGTTGAGACGAAATAAAACATGAATTATACAGTGTCATGCAGAAATTCCATAACATATGGGCAACAGTTTTCCTTGGGAATCTATAATGCATGCCCGATAACCTGATAATCGATTCTTAAATATGTCACCAGATCATATGAAATATGGGTAAATTGAAAAAAGTGACAATGGAGAGGCAGAAAGTGGAATAACCAATATATTGAGAAGCAAGAGCGACTTTGACTTTCCTTTAATAACAACGACGTAGATAATTGCCGTTTTATGAACAAATACCATCCTTCAGACAGTTTCGATGTTAGTCTCCAGTTCTTCTCGGATGATTTCATTCCATTAAAACCACTTGCAGCAGATATAGAGAAAAACCTACAACATAACTTAGAAATTTTGAATAAAGAATTGACAAAAATTAACATGAAGATTAATTCAAATAAGACGAAGGGCATGATAATATCCAAATTAAACAAAGAGCATATCCTACATTTAAACGGAATCCAAATAGAACAAGTAAAAAACTTCAAATACCTGGGATAAACGATAATGGAAAAATTGACGGAGAAATGAACGACAGACTGGGAAAAACTGGAAGACAACTCTCTTTGGAAAGAAAGAAATACCGAAAAACATAAAAACAACAGTAGTTGAGAAGATACTACACCCAACATTGATGTTCAGCAGCGAGACATGGGCCTCTAACAGAAAAACATAAATCACGGATAAATGCAATAGAGATGAGATTCCTGAGAAGAATAGAAAACAAAACAAGAAGAGACATAATTAGAAACCAAACATTCAGACAAAATTCACAGATTGAACCTATGAACGATAGAATAATAGGACAGCTAAGATGGTTTGGCCATGTGTGTCGAATGCCATACAACAGACTAACGAAAAGTGTATACGAAGCGCGAGTGCAAAGAAAAAACAGTAAAGGAAGACCTAGAAAAAGATGGAATGATGGGATCAGTGAGGAAGCTGAGAGAAAAGGTATAATATGAAAAGAAATTAAGGAACTGACAAAAAAGATATGAAAACATGTAGAGATATATGAAGTAGAAAGAAACAACACAATACGCCTGACACCTAGCGGTATAAAGAAATAGGATTGAGTATATAAAGTGAAGTGAATAAACCACTAATCACTCCAACAGGGTGGAATATATAACTAATGGATGCAAACCAAATCTCAAGAATGGTGGAACAAATCGCCAGGAATGAGACAGGCAAAAGAGTTTATTAAAAAACCATCGCCAACATTCACAGAATATCTACTAAGCCAGAAACGAAGTTCAGGGCAGACACAATAGATCTGAAAAGGTCGCGGTGTGGAGGCAGATAGCCCGAAGGCCCCATTCTAAATCTAATTCTAAATCTAACATATAACTAAAAAATACATCTTATTCCACCAAATATAATGATGAATAGATGATTATTATTCAATAAAATGTTAAAGAGAATGTAGTTTTTTAGAATTAGGTACCTTTGTGCTATTATCCAGGAAACTAGTTGTTTCCTGTTAGACATTTTTCCTTGAAGAAGTCACAAGCTTGACTCAACTTGGAAACCACCAGCAATTTTTCATACATACTACGAATAATAGATGGCAAGCCATGCAAAAAAAGTGTGTTATCAAATTGTCAACTTTATTAAGGCCATCAACTGATTGACCATGAGTGCTAGCTGCTAAATATTCGAACCAGTTTGAGTAAAAGTACCTACCTAATTATCTGCAGCAAAAGACAGTCATTGTCTTCGAAAAATTCGATTTCAGGGACTATATGATCCTAATTAATATACAATGTTTTGTTGTTGATAATACAACTATTTCACTTACCTTGCAAACTCTTCAGTAACCTATTCGCGGTTTTCAAGGTCATCTCTCGTTGCGATAACGTCAAAACTGGGGAAATACACGTCTAAAATTCAATCTATGATAGGAGTTAGATATGTTTTCCCTCAGTTTTAACGTCATCGACACGTCAGACAATTACCTTGAAGTCCTCGAATTTACCGTGTTGAGATTTTTGACTGAAAATTTGTTCCATACAAAGTTCTTCACTTGGTTGAATATTCCTCGGATTGTGGACAATTGGTGACAAATTATTACTTTATGTACATGTCCATGTGTACATATTCTTTCGACTTGTAAGAAATTAGAAACAGAAGCTTCTTATTGCCAAAATTCTTGGCCACCCTGTAGGATGTTTCGATGATTTCGGTGATGCGACTTCAAGTTATCATCTTGCTGTTAATATCTAGAGCAAACGTATATGGCAGATTTGACATTATTTATAATTATTTGGCACAACATTTTGTCTTAATCTACTTTCACTGAACTCAATAATTGTTATTAAGTTAATATAGTAGCAAAAATGAATCCGCCCAAATCGGTGAACTGACTTATTATAACAGCTGCAATTCTGAAGCAGCATATACAGGGTGATTCAAGTTGCGAGGTACAAGCTGAAATGGGTGATTGATCTCATCATTTTGATCGAAAAGTACACACCTTTTTGTGTGTATGTGTTTAATTATTTTCTCTATTAATTGACATATCTCACTTACTTCTGAAGATATCAATTTGGAATTTGGTGTCGTCAATATTTTCACATGAAGCATTTCGAAGATTTTTAAAATCTCCAGGGTGATACTTTCTTGAGGGTAGAGGCTTCTTCAACTTGTCGGTAATTATCTTCTTGCGAAATGTGATTGTTTCTTTTGCGTATTCCATTATTGTTAGCTAATTTCGTCCAAGAATAAAATTTAGAACGGATATATGATTATTCATCTCAAAAACGTTTCCCTTCTCGAAAAAAATTGAAAGGCAAAATAAAATGAACGATTCACCGTATTTGGTGACTGCAAAATGTCAAAGGTGTACTACGAAAGAGTGAAAATGTTTGGTTGGGAGAAGAAGCCTATACCTCCAAAAAAGTATCACACTGTTGATTTAAAAAAACCTTGAAAATTCTCAAACTCATGAATTCTTATAGGAAGTATCAACCACATCAAATGTCAAATCGAAATCTTCAAAACTGAGCGAGAAATTTCAATAACCTAATAGAAAAAAAAAATTAAACTTTGACCCCCTGTAGATCCACTACTGATCGAGATTGTAATCATGTTAATAGGAACTTTTCTTATTGAAATGATGAGATCTATCCCCCATTCCAGTTTGTACCTCAAAACCTGAACCAACCTGATGTATATGAGGTACGTTCAAAATTTTCATAAGATAGCAGACACATCAACCTCATCCTAGCATGCGAATTGAGAAGAAAAGTGGCAAACATATTCTGCTCCTGAGTCGAAACACAAATACGTAAACTCCAAAATGACAGTTTGATCACTTGTATCACAAATGGAAAATGAAACAAAGAAACCTACACAACAATGGTTTATTCTTTCTAGTCTATGCAAAAATAAATGTCTGATCACTTTTTCTAATAATTAGTCATCCAGGTATTTTGCACCTGCTCAGATTATTGCTGTCGACCTCAAAATATTTGTACTTGAATTTCAGTCGGTCTCACTTGCTTTTCTTCTTTCCACCTTTTCCTGAGTAGTAATCCTCACTGAAATGAAATCAGTTGAAATTATCATGAAGGGAGTTTTTAGTTGAGAATTCATATTGCCCCACTATACAGGTTGTCCTCATGAGTGAGGCATTTTTTTAAGAGGATGTAGAACGCATTGAATCATACAGATCCATTGAATATCGCCTCAATAAAATTTGCATAATACAGGGTGTCCCATTGGGGAACGGAAAAATTTCGACAGTGTATATTCTTTTGGAATTTGGTACACAATTTCTTCTTTTACTCAAGCGACACGCCTATCCGTAACAAGAAAAATCCAGGTCCATATTAGCAAAAATTTATCATATTCTTGGACCCCAAAAAAATCACAAAGTGCACAAAAAGCTGAATCGAATGGTGTAATTCTCATTTTTCTGCATGCTATTTCACTGAAGAATTTACGATTTTGAATTTGAGGTTTTATGCATTTGAATCAGTCACTAGTAAAATCCAGGGCAGGATCCCACCTAGTGCAACTGATGGGGCTTGGCAAGCCGAAAAAGTCTATCTTGCATCATTTGACATCTCTAATTAGTCTTCAGATTCTAGGTTGGTCAATAATCAAGAACTTCTTATACTTTCTCATTGCAATACTCGAATTGATTATCTGTTAGCGATTCGTTAAAATTGTTCATTCAAATACTAATTTTCATCATGAAATACCTAGTACATGGACTCGTAAAAACACGTACTCTTTATTATAATACGAATTTTCGGCCAATAGAAACACGCTTTGAAAGTACATTCAATTCAATGAACTGTCGATGTTATATGTGTTGAAATATCAAGGAATTTGAAACGAATTTTTGTTCTTATTTTATTATTCGATTATTGTGGGTAAATACATGAGGGATGATTTCTTTATTGATAAATACATGTTTAATTGTATGAAACTTTTATTATCATGGCAAACAATCGAGAATCAGGGGAGTGAAAAATCGCGAGAGCTTGGCTTATAAATAACTATTATATACCAAGGTAGTAGAGAATATCAACCAGAGACCAAGATTATATCCCGAGGCTTCAGCCGAGGGGTATAAGGTCCCATGGTAATGATATTCTTTACTACCATGGTGTACATTGTATTTCTTTCACCACATACAATATATTTCAATCATTATCGTTCTGTCAATCTGAAATATGGACCTATATTGTCACAATGATGGAAGTAAGATATTGTGTGATTACTGATGCGCTTTTGTCTCAGAAATTTCACTCGACCTCTCGAGAACAGTGAGAGCAATGGTTCCGTCGATCTTCTAATAGATGGCGACATTGCACAATTATGATATCTGTCAGTTTTGAAATTGTCGCAGATTTTCCGAATTCAGAGTTGAATAATCCCACTGGTTTATATGTTCCGCGTACCTAAAATGCCATTTGCCATTTTATTTTCACTCATCACAGTAGCAATAGCAGCATCACCATCTAGAAGGACAATGTAGAATGATCGTCTCGCTCGTTGTGGACGTAGAAAAATCATAGTAGGCGGTCGAGTGATTTTTCTGAAATTTTCAATACGTAATAATGGCCGAATGCGCGCACCATATCTTACTTCCATCAATATTGTCACTATGAATGCACTTCCCTTCAATTCTAATCAAAATAATAGCCATGACTATGACAGCATATGTCAAATTGTTATTGATAAATACGTACTAGATCCGAGTCCCATCTCTGCGGATATCGCATTAGAACAGTGAATTCGGATTAATTATAACAGAGATATATGCTATGTTATTATCGACTAGTGGTTCATAAAATGACGAAAACTTCCTTGGTAGCAAAAACATACTTTACGAATCGAAAAGGAGTAAATAATGGTAGGTTCTACAGCAAGCGGTCGAACAAATAAAATACACACAACAGTGGCCTTTCTACGCTTTCGTAGGGATCAATATTCATGGCTTAGATCTTACCTGACTCACAGAAAGATACACGTTAAAGTCGACAATTGTCAGTCGAAGCAGTGTGACATTAACCTTGGGGTTCCTCAAGGTTCTATATTACACATGCCCAATCATATAAGCTCAGATTATGTAGTTTTGTATGCAGATGATACAACGATTGCAGCAATTGCAGGTGACCCAGAGGAGCTCCAAGAAAAATTAAATACCTTGAGCTTCGAGTTCACGAATTGGTGTGATAAAAACTCTTCAGTGGTAAATGTAGAGAAAACTGTTCTGATGCAGTTTCATTCCAGAACTGATAGAAAAATTGATAATCTTCATGTTAGAGTGAGTGATGCAATAATTAAAACCATCAGACAACACCAAATTTCTAGGTACTAGGAGTGGGACATAGGAGTCGGGTATAAATCATACCAGTAAGAAAGTGAACAGTGGGTACTATGCTATTAGACAACTGAGGTCCACTTTCGATAAGGCTCAACTTCTAAGTGTTCACTTTGCTGTTGTATATTCCCATATTTCTTATAATATTGCCATTTGGGGATGTTCGTCGAAACTCAGCAAAATATTCGTCTCACAGAAAAGGGTCATACGGCTAATACATGGAAAGACTACAGAGAATCTTGTAGGCAACACTTTATTGAGAATAAAATCTTGTGTGTACCTTGCATTGATATTTACAAATGTATTTTATTATTCAGGAAACAAATGCAGACTTTCATACGTATCCTACCAGGCACGGTGAATTGATAAGGCTTCAGAAACATTCAACTCGTCTGTATGAAAATTGTCCCTCTTATAAGGGAGCAAAATTCTATAATCACTTATCTGACGAGATAAAAAATGTACACAGAAGAGAAAATCATTTCAAAATTGAACTCGAAGAATTTCTGATTAACGGTTGTTTTTATAGTATCGACGAATATTTCAATCGATGAAATGCATTTCATAATTATCTTGATATACTTTGTGGTACTAGGAAAGGTTATACAGACTGAATATTCTGTGTACTTTGTGGTTTTATTATATTTTCATGTATCTGTATATAAATTGTGTGTGAACTTCTTGTTGTCTGACGTATCCTATGTAATTTTTTTTATGATCGTGAAGGATTCAATAAATCTTATTATTATTATTATTATTATGATTAATACTCACCATCCAGGTACGTTGGCAGGTTCGTCGCACCTGAACGTATCCTCGTTGTACACGGTGCCAGGGGAGCAGGACCCTTTCTGAGGAGATACCCCGTCCCTGCAGATGTAGAACTTCTGGCAATCGTCCGGATGCGCGAAAGTGGGGTGCGGGAGAGTCCTGCCGTTGGGGCCTTCAGTGTCGCCCCCTGGACACTCGAATCCGTCTTCTAGCACGTCTTTGTTCGGCTTGAAACATTCCGCGCGTTTGGAGTTTTTCGGCCATGCGCAGTTGCTGGTCTCGATGTCGTATACCAAACCTGAAGAAGAATAAAAATGGACGAGTTTTTATACGAAGGGTGGAGGGAAAGTACAGGAAATTTCAGAATAACCTCCCCCAGAAAGGGGGCGAAGGGTTCAGTGATTGGCCCAGAGCCAATCTTAGGGGTCACTCGATCCTGAAGCAACTTCATGAAGGAAAGGCTCCTCGAATGAGGCAGTCCAAACTCCATATAGGAAACCCGTCACGAAGACAGACCAATGCCCTCTTGGCTTTGAACAGGAAGGAGCTGAAACTGGTGGTGGGCCTGCTGACAGGGCACTGCCACCTGAACAAACATCTCAGCATGATCGGGATTGTGGAGGATCCTGAATGCAGATGGTGCCTAGAGGATGAAGAAACTTCTACTCACATCCTCACTGAATGCCCGGCAATAGTGGCAGCAAGGGATATCCATTTTGGGAGCAGTATCCTGGACCCAGAGGATGTTAAGAAGATTTGGCCTAGGAAGTTGGTCTCTTTTGCACGAGAGATCGGCCTTCTCCATGGCTGACTTGCGATCCCAGGAATGTGGGTGCACAATGGGCCCGAAAATGGAGGCCTAAGTGCGTCAGGTCCCGGACCGCCCACACACATACATACATACATACATACATATATACATACAACCTCGTTTTGAGATAATCGCATTCTTACAATCATACACCGGATTACTTGTGAACTATTAATAGTCAATTTGACATTCCATGGGTGATAAGTTTTTTTTTTTCAAATAATGGAGACATTGTGATATCAGATACGGAAATAAAATTGATGGCATACAAAGTACCTCATTGATGTATCGAACACAGTAAAACAAGAGCTATCTTGTGTTATAGCCGTAGAAAATAGTAATTTTCATAACAAGTTAGAAACAATATTTTTTCTACAAGCGTAGGAAATTGATTGATTCGTTTAATTAATTATTAATTTATCCATATAGAAAGAGGAATATATTCTCTATCTACTGATTATTAGTAATAGCTATGGTGAACTTTCAGTTTGACGCATTATGTATAGGTTCATTGCGGAAGCCGGCATAAGGTGTTTGGTCTCTAGGTTTCAGACACTTCTAGGAAATGAGTCAAAAATAAGACTTCGTTGGCAATAACGCATCTGTATCGCATCCCTATAGTGATATATTCCATCACCTACCACTTATATTCTGCCACTTCCCAAACCAAATTGCGTGCGGGTATAGGGTGAATCACGCACGCTTGTATGAAATAGTTATTTGTTTAACTAGGCAGCAAAGTAGTAGATTGACTGCCGAGGCTGAATTCATAGCCGAGCGTAGCGAGGCTAGGAATTCAGCTAAGGCAGTCAATCTACTTTGCTGGCGAGTTGAACATAAAATTTTTTTTCCGATTGTTCATAATGATATAGGAGGATATTGTATTTGCAAATTATTACAATTCCCACAATCTCTTTATTTTTCCTGTAGTGTTCAATTGAAACAAAATTTGATAGAAATCGCAGTTGTTGAAATGGTTGGTTGCTATGGAAATTTCCATAATAATTATAGTTTGACAATTTCTGAAAGTTGTGCGAAAAAATATCGGATATTTAAATTATTATATAATGGACAGTGATAGCGACCTGGAAGTACTTACTTCTCCAGAAATAATAATAAGTAAATTATGAACGATTTATGTAATAATTGCTAATCAATGTTTACGTCAAATGTTTTATTCCCATTGAGTATAATCACTTCGCTGCCTAGGCAGGAAAAGTAATACTTTGCTGATTGATATGTGTCAGCAAAATTAATATTTGCTGCCAATCGAAGAAAAAAGTTTTTTCAATTCATACCAGGACAGGTGAAATACTACCTGTTTCTTAATCTTATTGCCTCTTATTTTCAATTGTCTCAATTGATCATACTGAGTAACGTAGCTGTTTCACTTACCTGGTGGACAAGATAATCTTGTTGGTATACCGTCTTCACAATTATGGAATTTGGTACAATCAGTTGGATGCGGGAAGAAACCATTGGCTTTTGGACAACCAGGACTTGAATTGCTTTCCTCTAAAAGAAAAAAACATTGAGCTAGTCATAAAACGGACTATATTACATATACAGTGTGTCCCACTTACCATGCTCACCATGGGTATCTTTTTAACGGTGAGAGATACGAGGTCGGTTAAATGACACCAAATGTGGAGTTTGTCAAGGCCAACTATAATGTGAAAAAATATTTTGATAAAATCTATCCGTTTTTGTTTTATACGCAAAAAACAGATTTTGATCATTTTCATGTCTCCTCCGTAATTCTCATGGCAGTTTTTCAAAGTGATTTCGAAAAAAATATGAAATTTATACCAACTCTTCTAGAATTGGAGATATCAGCACCAACTTTAGTTTTTCAAATGTAGGTCATAGCTCACTATGACTTCATTACAAATAACTTTTTTTCTCTTTCAGATGATGTGTCGCAGTAATAGTTTTGTGTTGATAACAACGGAGTTATCGTCATTTATACAAAAACAAAAAATGATTTGGAAGCCGCCATCTTGAATTTATGAATTTTAACAAAAAAAACATGATCTCCGACCTCAAAAACCCCCACTTACCAATTTTGAATGGAATCGGACCAAATATTGTCCGTCATCTTGGAGCAGCCATTTTTTTTAATTTCAACAAAAATTCCATAATGTATCGTCACCGAAATCATGAACACCTGCCAAATTTCAAGTTAATCGGAGTCTTGGAATTTTTATTGAAATTCAAAAAAATGGCTGCTCTAAGATGGCGGACAAGATTTGGTCCGATTCCATTCAAAATTGGTAAGTGGGGATTTTTGAGGTCGGAGATCATGATTTCTTTGTTAAAATTCATGAATTCAAGATGGCGGCATCCAAATCATTTTTTGTTTTTGTATAAATGACGATAACTCCGTTGTTATCAACACAAAACTATTACTGCGACATATCATCTGTAAGAGGAAAAGAAGTTATTTGTAACTAAGTCATAGTAAGCTATGACCTACATTTGAGAAACTAAAGTTGGTGCTGATATCTCAAATTCTAGAAGAGTTGGTATAAATTTCATATTTTTTTCGATATCACTTTGAAAAACTGCCATGAGAATGTGAAATTCCTATTTGAATATTTCCATAAATAAAGAAGTTACGGAGGAGACATGAAAATGATCAAAATCTGTTTTTTGCGTATAAAACAAAAACGAATAGATTTTATCGAAATATTTTTTCACATTATAGTTGGCCTTGACAAACTCCACATTTGGTGTCATTTAACCGACCTCGTATCTCTCACCGTTAAAAAGATACCCATGGTGAGCATGGTAAGTGGGACACACTGTATATAGAGTCAGAAATTTTTGATAACATTTGAACCATTCATGATGAGCATGCTGTTGAATAGTCTTCGGAACACGATAAAGTCAATTGAGTTGAAAAAGAATCAACAAATATAATGTTTCCAAGAACGAGAAAAGATTGAGCAACTTAGAATAGAGATATTGAACCCAAAATGTTTCTGAAGATATTAGAGTGGGGTCGGATGCTTCATGATGTTGTTTCTGAAATTCCCAAAGGAGGTAATGATTTCCTTTTCTAGGAATTCTAAGAATTTTTTTCGGAATGATTACTGAAACCTTGTGATTTATGTAAAAAAACAGAATTTATGGCGAGGTGGAACGTTTCATAACTGTGGTAAGTTTAGAAAATTGGAACTATTTAGTTGTTATATGGTTCCAGAAACAGTCAGGTTCGAAGTAGATATTTATATAAGTACTTATAGATACCTATCTCTTTGAACCTCAGGAAAAGTATAGGTACAGTGATGTCTGAAAAAAATTAGTTCATTCTATCATTCCCCGCAAGTTCGATTTTGCAATAGATTTTCTATTTTTTGACAAGAATAATGGATTCGGGAACGATGCGTAGAAGCGTGAAATAACCTCTCACAATTTTCGATTTTTTTTTAATTATAGTTTTTTAACTCTCCTTGTTCGTGATAACATTAGGTGCATTGATTCATCCCGAATTCAGTGACTCTGTCGTGTTCTGAAGTCCACCCTGGTACCAATAGAATGGTCATAATGCCTAGTTCCTATATAAAATATAAACCAATATGTATATGTGCCCTCAACTCATGACCTAATAAGGTTCGTACGATTTTTTCCCAGAGGCCCCCGTCAATAATTCATAAATTCACAATCAAGTATTGGTGATATTCCTAATTAGCAATAAAAATTCGATTGTCTCAAACTGCTCCCTTATGATTGGTGGTGTATCGATTATATCAAACTTGTGTTCATAATAATAAAATCAATTTACACTAGAGGACATTTGAATCGGTGAACGTGACAACAGCGAACGAATTGTGGGCGTGGTTTTCAGCATTCAGCACAATGTTGCCAAGTATGTAGATAGTCATAAAATTTAAAATTAAAGCTGAAGAACATCTGTTGACTTACGTAAAAGGGTTCGATCTCCACAATCTACGTTTGCTGGGGTTTCGCATCTCTCCTGGTTCGGATCTTTGTCGTCAAATACCAAGCCTTCAGGGCAGAACTTTTGTTCGTAAGCACCTCTGGAACAGATGTAGTAGATGTCGCATTCTTCAGGGTCGGGGAAAAATCCGGTTCTTTGAGGACATTTGAACTGGCCAGAAGTACCTGTAACATTTTCAATTCGTCCTGATCGGTCGGATTTCACCTATACCCTATACACATTTTATTTTCGAAATGTTACTTATGGGGGTAATGAGAAAGGATGACATTTGGCAACATGGCCGTTTGATGAGAATGGGGGTTGTTTCACTGTAGGGGACAGTGTTGCCAGATCTACCGTTTTCATAATGTGAAACTACCGTTTTACCGCAGAGGCTCAAAAGCTATCGCTGGAATTTCCAATCACACTCAAGAATTTATTCATTCCTTAACGAAAAATTCTCGGTTTTCCTAAAAATCGATTTGAAATGTATCAAGAAGTTATCTATCTGTAATTCAGCTTGAGGAATTCCTATGACTCGATAACTAATATTCAAAATTTCACTCTACCTGATAACACACAATTCATTTCATTTGATGTACAAAACCTTTTTCCAAGTATTAATCAATGATTTTTCGATTATCGGTAAACCTTCACACACTTTCACTATTCAACACACCCTCATCACCATGAAATTGCAGCATATAATAGTATGATACGAAGGCTAGTGAATGTTAGTCTTTCAGAAGTAAATTTCAATAAAGAACTCAATATGATAAAACAAAATACAGTCAACAACGCGGATACAACGTTAATTTGATGATATAGAAAAAAACTTTTGAATTCGAGAAATCAAGGATATCCAAACTCAACTGAGATATCGCGTTTAGGTATAAGTGTGATACCACAAACATTCCATCGCTGCGATGTTCATAAGCAAACACATCTGCGACATGACATCTCTAAGATGTCATGATGCAGCATCACTGCGATATCACGAATGTTGCATCGCTGCAGGAAACACATGTGGACTTCGTTTTTCAGAAATTCAAAAATTTGATGTTCAAATTCTTGTTGGGTGTGTGAAAGAATATATCAATATACGTTACTCAACAAAGTGACGTTGAATACGCAAACATTCTTCGTTGAATTGTTATCCAACTATCCTTGGTCAGCTTACATCTCGCCGACACACACTACATAATGTTTGATACAAATTCGATTAACTGATCTTTTCCTGATGGAGATGCGTAGGCACTGAGGAAATGGCGCAGTTGAGAAGACGGTTGAATGAATATGAGTCCCGAGGGGACCACCAACCAGTCACAACAATGCATAATCAAAATCATTAAATGACATCAGAGGTCTGTAGGGTATTATCCCAACACGTTTGAGGAGACTTTTCACGTCATCTCGCATCACATCATAGTATTTTCGCAAAGCCACATGAATTGTCCATCACAAATATCATATCGCAATTACGTTGCGAGAATGATATCGCTGTTATATCGCAGAGAACTCATTGCAGCGGCGTCACATGGATGAAACTTGAGTTTGACAAAATAACATCTCTCTGACATTGCAGCGACGTCTATGCGACATAAAATGTGATATCGTGGGTCACAATTGTTACATCGCTGCGATGTCATGTAACTTTGTTTGCTTAGTAGCTTGGTATGTACCACTTCAAAATGGCGAATTGAATGGAAACTTCGCATTATTATCAAGATTTGATGACAACACCATAATTCAATAGTCTTTTCCCATTATCCTGTCAAGATCTTCAGGATGATGTGATTAATTTTTTGCGAATAAAATGGGTAATGATGTCCCGCCACCAAAATTGCAAAATGTTCCTTCACCAAATTTTCAAATTTTATCAACAGTTTTTTCATGTCTTCTGTGTATCTTATTCTTGATCTGGCAACACTAGCGGAGATTGTCATCTACTGCCCTTTATGTAACCATTTGGTAACGATCTGAATAGTACTCCGAAGAAGTGAATGATAAACGAAAACTGTACAGGAGAATCAACTTTCTGATTATTTAATTAATAATTTTACCACACAAAAGCACTTTTCCGATCTGGTTGAAAATCAGTATGTTTTATGTGTGTTACTGTGTTGAAACGACTATAGATCTCATCTGATAGTTCAATTTATGCGTGTGATACCTACTTATGATATAAAAAAAAACGCAATCTCATAATTCTTTCGCAATAAAACTATTCAGCTTTGATGAGTCTTATAATAACATGTCTACCAGTTGATTTATTGCATCCGTATAGGTATAACTTGAGTGATTGTCATTTAAATTGATGAATATTCATTCGAACAAAGAAACTTACTTGCAATAAACACGAATATGAAACATTTCTTCCACATATTGACAAAACCAACACCAAATTCCCCGTGGCTGAGCAATTATTAAGATAACCGACTCAAAGTTCTACGAAAAATGAGCGAATCGAACCGAAGAAAGTGTTTTGAAAGTGACTTGTACCCTTTACTCATTGAATTTATTAACGTCTGGTAGATGCAAGAACACCCGTGAACGAATGTTATTGTAGAAAGCCCTGTAGCAATACAGGTTTACCGTTTATTTATCATCGAAATATATCATTGAATGCATATTATTTCGAAAGAGAAATAGTTGACATATTATCATCATCATATTCTAAAGAAATCCTAATATTTCCATCAACATTCTTGAAATAATATCTCAAGGTTCTCTCCACCTAACTGAAACTTTCATAAGGTCGAGAATTAAATAAGGTCAACACCTTGTTACTCTTCTAGATTCTTGATCAACGTTAGAATAAGCTGAAGAGTTGTATATACTGGTTGTTTTCGAAGTGCTTATGAACAGAAAAATCAACGTGGTTTCTCTCTATAGAAGCAATAGAAAAAAATATGTGTATAATCGATTGATTTTTTTCTCTTTTCAGCGTGTAGATCATGAATTCCTCCTTTCGAAACTATTCAGATCGGGTATAAGAGGAGTACCACACATAATTTAGTTACATCATATCTCAAAGAAAGAAGACGAAGATTCGAAATTAACTAATGTATGAGCAGAGAATCTAAAATTGGCCAGGGAGTACCTTAAGGATGTAATTTGGGTCCATTATTCTTCCTAGTGTTTGCTAACGATCCTATATAACGTTCATCAGCAATAACACCTCACCAGTTACGCAGATGACACCAATATACTAATAATAGAAGAAAATATGGAAAGATGGAGGGGAATCACAGCAGATATGTAGGTACGCCCAGTTGAAACAGTAAATATACCCAGCGAGCACAAACATCCCTGGGATGTTTTGAAAATGTTGGCATGAAGATGTTATTTTGAAACGTAATATGCACTGACCAAAGAGGTCTTTGAAGGATATTGAAGTATTGTTTTTGTTCTTCTGTGGCATTTCTTTGTTTGCCTACTGAGAGGTATCCCTGGGATGTTTTGGGATGTTTTAGAAATGTAGGCATGAGGATGTTTTTTTTGAGGCGTAATATCCACTTCCCAAAGAGGTCTTAGAAGGATATTGAAAGTATTGTTTTTGTTCTTTTGTGCCTCTTCTTTGTTTGCCCCACCACAACGTCTCATGCTTACGTCACAATACGATGAAATGATTTGTTTTCGATTTTGTTCTTCTTGTTCGCAATTGGCACTCGCGTTTGCAGCGTGTCACGCTTACATCATGCTGCTAACTAACAGAAAGGAATTTGGTGAAGTTTATTGTGTTAGAAGACTTGTTTAGTTTGTAATAATGACCATCAGATGCAAGATGTGTTGCTCGGTGCCTCAGTGTAATCAATACATAAAAGTACGAATTTATCATACACAGCTTCTCCGCAGTTGCAAAATTATGCATTGTGGAGAACATTTCAAAAATTGGGAAACCTATTTCCAATTATATGTCTGTGTGTAGTAAGCACTACTCAGAAACCGATTAAGAAGGTAATTTCATATCAAGAAAATATTTTTATGTTTCATTCAATATTTTTCATTCAAGGGAAATGGAATCTTAATGCAAAAGTTCATTTTGACAAAAGGCTTCAGAAAAGTACCTCGAAAATGATTTTTTTTTACAGCGATGTTTTGTTGTGTCCATGAAAAGGCTTTAAAAAGAACTAGGGAGAAGGTAGTTTTGTGACATATCAAGGACATCTCGATAATTGCCGCCTGAGGCGGACATTGGCTGTTCTATAATAGTTCTATTCATGTGTGAACAGAACATCGCAGTGGAGGTTCAATGTCTCGAAATCTCGTACTTTCAACATCTCTGAGATGTTTTTGTGCTCGCTGGGTACTGGGAATTGTTCTGGACCGAAAACTATCATGGCATCCTCCTATCGATGCACTTGGTACCAAATTGAACAAATGTTGTTTCTCTTTTAGGTTCATGTCTAATCACTGTAGTAGCAATGTATTGAGAACTTTGTATCACGCCAATTTTCATTCCCACATTTGTTATGGGATTCTGAACTGAGGCACTGCTACAACTTTGCAAAGGGTATTCCTAATACAGAAATATATGTGATAAGAATGATTGCTCAACTAGGATACAAGGAGACTTGCAAACATGCATTCAAAGAACTGAAATTTTTAACAGTCTCCAGCACATACAAGGTGTTGCGAAATTCGACCGACAACGCTTGACAGGTGATAGCCCTCGTGATTTCAAGTGTTCAGTTCTCGAGATACAGGGCGTTGAAGTAAAGAAATTGAAATAGTTTTTTCGCAATATCTCAAGAGAAATTTAATACGATGCATTCAAATTCGGTATTTGGTCTCATCTTCCAATGGTTAATTTTTTGACCAGAAAGACATTCCGAGACTTCTCCCCCTATATTTTCTACGCCACTGATGAAATAACGATCATTTCCAATTTCTCGAATTGATTGTTCAATTGTGTTGAAAAAAAGGATCACCTTCAACTGAGCTAAAATGAACAGTTATCGAGATATTTGACCCAAAACAGAAGTTTGCATAGTAATTTTTCATCTTCCTCAGTAGTAGAGAATTATAAAAATGTTGTTTGTCTCTTCATGCTCGGAATAACTATTTATGTTCAGCTATACAGAATGATATCTGAATAGTATCCAATCTACTCAACACCAGAAAAATATTTTTGCAATTTTCTACTACTGAAAATGATGAAATATTACTGTGCATCTTCTACATTGGGTCGAATATCTCGAAAACTGTTCATATCAGCTCAGTTGAAGGTGATGCATTTTTTGAACAATGAATTCGTGGAATTAGAAGTGTCTAGCGAGAATGATTACAGAAATATAGGGTGTTCAAAATCGAGATTTTATCATGGTCAAAACAACTCACCATGTCCCTATCTTAACTTTCGATTCACTTTCTATTGACATTTAATATTTGGAACAGATATACAGATTGATCGGAATTCTGAATCTTGAACCACCCCTATTTGTTCCAGTTAAATGTCAGTAGGAAGTGAATGGAAAGTAATGATAGGGACATCTGAGCTGTTTTGACCAATAATTAATAGTTTAGACACAAAAGAATCCCAAAATTAAAAATTTTCGATTTTGAATACCCTTTATCTTTGTAATTATTTCTGCCAGACCCCAAGTATGATCAATTGATGTAATAAGCTCTCCAGGAAGGATCTCAATAATCAATAAAATACAGGATATACAGGGTGTTTCAAAAAAACCTAACCCCCTTGCTAGGGTAGGTAGAACATTGCAAAATAAGTTGGGTGTGCTCAGTGAAAAAATGTCGCAACGGCATCCGTTTTCATGATACAAGATGTTGAAAAAATTAATTTTTCACACATTTTTCACGATTATTCCGAACCTACTGGCAACATTTCGATGAAATTTTGTATGTATGTTTCTTGAAATCTGACACATCGCATATATTTGTTTTCATATCTGACTCTCATAGAGGGCGCTAGTTACACGGTTTGTACCTAGTAGTTTTGAAGATGACTTTTTTGAGGTTAGATTTTTCAATACAAATAATATGATATGATCTTGAACATCATTCAAAAAGGTACTCTTCTCCAAGAGTACTCGATACTATGTTCCATTTTCGGTATATTTCGATTTGAAAATAATGGAGTAGTAATGATGCTGGTATAAAATTAATTTTATTGAGTTCAATTACCTATTCATTCAGATTCAAAAACGATAAAATTATTCTCATGCTGAAGTTATCGATGAAACAAAGGATAATAAGTAAAAAATTGAGAGATATTTGACTAGAAACATGAAATATTGAATCAGTTAGAGTAAGTGTTCAAAATGTCCTACGTTTCGAAGAAAAAACGATTCTATATTCTTTTCTTAAGAATGTATTATTCTTCTTAACAGTTGAGGATCAGCTGTCAGGTCATTTTAGTGATGTTCAATTAGGTCTCACAACTCTGGACGTGAATTCACCTTTGTAGCATAGACTTTCTGCTCAAGATACAACGAAACTGTGTAATCCATGTTCTCAGTCATATCTGCTTCGATGTTATTCTTGTGATTCATTGTTAAATCAATAAGTTCAGCATCAGAAATGTATTTTTGTTTTCGATTTTCAATAAATAGGTGATAATTTTCCATAATACTCACTCTAATACATAGCTTTATACCAGCAACAGTTACCACTTCATCATTTTCGAATCGAAATATTCCGAAAACGGAACACAGAATCGAGTTTTACATTGAATGATGTTCAAATTCACATCAAATTTGGACTGAAAAATATAACCTCAAAAAAGTTATGTTCAAAACTACTCGGTACGAACCGTGTAACTATAGCGCCCTCTATGAGAGTCAGATATAAAAACAAATGCATGCGATGTGTCAGATTCCAAGAAGCATCCATAAAAAATTTCATCACAATGTTGCCAGTAGTTTCGACATAATCTTGAAAAATGTGTATAAATATCATTTTTTCAACACCTTGTATCTTGGCAACGGATGCCGTTGCGGAATTTTTTACTGAGTAAACCCAATTTATTTTGCAGTGTTCTACCTACCCTAGCAACGGGAGTTAGGTTTTTTTGAAACACCCTGTATAGTCAGCTTGAAGGAAGGGGGGTGGGACATATATGGTGAATCACCCTGTACATATCTCGTAGACTGACAAATTCATTCAGTTGTTTGATACAGATCCTAGTTGTTTGCGAGTAGGGATCAAATGAATCACATTATTAATTTTAATATTCGTTTATTGATAATATTTCAGAGCAGTAGCGACATGTCCATTACAATTTACAATAATTGAATGTCAGATTAATAATGTAACTATTTCATTATTGCAATCAAAAATTATGTGGAAATGTATCTTAAACAAAATTCAACTACCTAAGTATACGAAAATACAATATATGAGAAATATATGAAACATAAACTAACGTAAACATAAAACGATTAGTAGGTAATAACTAACTTATATTAAAAGTTGAGACAGGAAATAAATTAAGTATTTATGGCTGATTTCTTCTTATTCAAAATTCATGTTCGTTTTAAACCCGTTATTTTAATACATCACTTCACAGAAGTGAGTCAAAAATATATTCAACA